GGCTGGCTGGGCGGTTGACGCGCCAGTCGGAACCGGAGCGGGTCCGAGGCGCTGCCCGAGCCCGCCATGGAGCAGCCCAGGAAGGCGGTGGTGGTGACGGGTACGCGGGCTGCGCGCCCGGGCGGCCGCGGGGGCGGCGGCCAGCACTGGGGCGGGGCGGGCGGCCCCCTGGGCGGAGCAGGTGCTAGAAGTGGCCCCAGATTTGGGAGATGTCATCGCCTGCGGAAGCCCGGCCCGGTCCTGGCCACCCAGAAAGTGGAGGAGGCGGCGCCTCTGTGGTCTCGGGGTGGGCAGTCGGGGCAGGCAGGGGCCTCGGGACCCGAGCAAGTGCCCCGCGTGGAACAGGCCCCTCTGGCGTCCTTCCTTCCCTGAGTGGGGACAGTGACCCTTCGGGCACCCACCTGCTCTGTCTGGCCAGGGGCTGCACCCGACCCTGCTCCCTGCCCTACTGGGGATCGGGCCTGGCCCCCCACCCTCCCCCGCCCCAGGGGACAAAGGCCGATTTGCGGGCAGGAAGCGTCCCGTGACAAATGAACCTCCTGGCCACTGCTCTCCACGCCCTGCGATAATGGGGGCTGCTCCGCCGGGGCAGAGACAGGTGGGGTTCCGGGGACCTCTGGCGCGGGTCCGCTCCCCGGTTGTCCCAGGGAGTGTCTCCGCCGGAAACCTTTTGTGCCTGGGCTGCTTGTTGGTGAGCCCGGCCCCGCTGTCACCAACTCCCCCCAAACCAACTAACTGTTCCTCCTCCCTGAGACTCCGCCTAGGGGCCACGTGGCATGTCAACTTCCGCTGGGGCCTCAGAGTGGGGGGTCATTTTGACCTGCAGTCCTGAGGGGTCAGAGTGGGAAATCCAGCCAAGGTTCAAACAGGTGTTTGGCGACTGTGGAAGGGAAGCCGGGGCTGGTCCTGGAATACCTGGGAAGATGGAAGAGGCCACGCACCTGCCTAGCAGGTGTGTATAATTGCAGGAAGGGTCACTGCCCCCACGGCCTTCCTCTATCTCGTCATTTGTTATTCCAGAGCTTTCTGCATCAGCTGGTGACATTTTCACCATCTCCATTTTGCAGAAAGGGAAACCGAGGTCACCTCATGGAGGTCGCCTAGTTTGTAAGTGGCTGAGCTGGGACTCGAACTTCAGCTGTGCAGCAGGAGCGGGCCGGGAGGTTGCCTCCTGAGCTGTGGCATCTACCTGCTTTCTCAGGACACAACATCCCTCCCATGACATTGATGTCACGTGAGATCCTTGGCCCAGCTAGACAACTTTTTAGACAGTACGACGCAGTGATTAGAAGAGGGAGGCCAAGGCCATGGACTCTCCAAGTCTGGGTTGGAATCCCAGCTCCCCCACCTTTTTGCTCTGGGACCTTGGGCAGCTGGCTTTACCTCCCTGTGCATCAGTCCCTGCTCCTGTAAATCGGGCCCAGGAAACACCCTTGCCTGAAAAGGGGATTCCATGAACGCCAGGCAGGTCGCTCAACATATATTCCCAGGCGATGGTCTTGGTTTGGAAAGGGGGCCTGGAGCTGGAGCCAGCAGGGAGGGCGGTGGGATGGCGTCTGGACGGCCTGGGAAAGGCCCCTACACATGCCGTGAGGGCCACTCCTCCTCCCGTGGGGATTCTTAGAGCATCTACCCCTCCAGAATTGGGGGAGAGGCCCCCCATAAAGACAGTCATAAAATAACTATAAAAGGGGCCACGAGTAGTGGGGACAATTGAGAAAGGAACAGGCCAGCCTTGTCTGAGGCGAAAGAGGCCACTTCCTCCTGGTGAGGCATGAGAATCAGGCCCCCCAGAACTCTGGACCAGCCCCCCAACACTCTTGCAGGTGGTAGCTGCTCCAGGAAGTTTCCTGCTGCTCCTCCCAGCTGGAGTTAGTGGCCCAGATTGGGGCAGGCTGGGTAGGACCACTCTGCAATAACATGTTGCTTTTACTGTTCTTTTTTTTCAGGGTTTGGCCCTTTTGGGGAACACACTGTGAACGCCAGCTGGATTGCGGTTCAGGTAATGCACATCTGGAGGGTACGAGTCAGGCTTGGAGCTGGGCTCCCCCCAGAAAATTACGGCACCAAAGAAAGTCTCCTCCTACGAGATATTTATGTCAGCTTACATCTTATAGCTTATATTTATTGAGCACTTGTTTGCAGCCCAGCGCTCTGAATTCTCCCAACAACCCCTGCGTGGTAGGTGCAATTATTCTTGCACCCACTTTACAGATGAGGAAACTGAGGCCGAGAGGAGTGATGAAGGGAGTTCTCTGCCATCACACCTAGAAATGGGAGTGGCATTGCTTCTGAAGTGCCCAGCGCAGCTAGTGGCTACAGGTCTGGGACTGGGAGGGCCCAGGAGCGGGTATAAATGTTGCGTTTCGGGACACAGTTGCTTAAGTGGGAGGCTCCCACTTGAACCCGGGAATCATCCGAATATGGCATCTTTCTCCTTTGCATCAAAAATCTTTTCTATTTACTCAAAGATGAATTGCGACTTGAGTTGGTTCCCGAATGGCCAACCTGAGAATTCTCCAGTGTCTTTTAGGCAGGTGCTTCCCATGTTGGGAGGAACCAGGCAGGGATGTCGGAGTGGGGGTGTCTTGACCTCGCGGGAGCTGGTGCAGTGACCCTCGCTGTCACCTCCAGGCAGCTGGGGGAGGAAAAGTTTGCATAGTGGGGGTGGGGAAGGGCTGTCTTTCCTGGTGTCATGAGCAGGGTGTCTGTCTGCAAAGCCCTTCCTAGTTTCTTTGCCAGATGGGGCATTCGGAGGGCCAGACTTGCGAACAATGAGCAGAGAGAAAGGGGAATGTTTCTCCTTATATAAATCAGGTCGGCAGAGACCGGAGCCAAACCCGTGTTAATCCTAGCCCATTAGCTGCCTGATTTAAAGTATCCCCGCTTCCCACTGCAGAGTCCTGGATTTGGAGGAAAATCCAACTGGAACCTCAGTGTGACAATCCCCAGCTGGCCCTCCCCCATGCCCCACCTTTCTTTGTCATCCCGACTCCAGCTCTCAGAGTGCTGCTTCCTTGGTTTTTTTTTCTCCACCCACTTTGCGAGCGGGACGGAGGGCTGGGATCCCGGGACCCTTGCAGATGGGAGCGTGTCCGAGGCCCTGCCTGCGCACCCGCTCCCTGGAGTCCCAGACAAAAAGGAACAGCGTGTTTCTGAAGACTTGTGTGTCTGGCTTTGTGCGAGTTTCAGACAGGAGCCTTCACGGGGCTGAGTGGACACAAAGCCGAGTGTCTGAATTCCTGGGCCCCAGACACTGTGATCTGCATCTAAATAGAAGAAAAAAATCAATTAAACAATCTTTGGAAATCCGTCCGAGCTTCGGGGCTCGAATGGTGGAGGATGGCAGCTTCTCATTCTGCGGCGGGGGGAATATCCCTTCTACTTGGTCCTTATCTCTCCAGACCCCAAGTTTCCACTCTCCACTTTCTTCCTGGAGTTTACCAAACGATAAGACAAGCTTCTGCACCGTCCCCCTGCTCAAACGATGCCGGCCTTCTCAGATCTCATTGTTTCCCTTTTTGAGGGAAAAAACAAACTGGAGTCCGGCTTGTGTACACGGAGCACACCTGTGTGTATAACCAATGACATTACATCTGTACGCCCCCCAGTCTGGATCAAGATCTCGAACATTCCCTGGTTCCTCCTCATTCATTCACAGAGGCCCCTTCCCAGGTACCGCCCTACCCCGCCACGTAAACTTCTCTGCTGAGTTTTTCGCCACGTCGGTGAGTTTTGCCTGTTCTAGAACTTGGCAGAGTTGGAGCCACGCGGCGAGCTGGCTGTGGGGTTTGGCCTCTTCTGCGCAGCTCAGCGTCGGTGGGGTCCCCCGCGGAGTTCCCGGAGCTGCCGTTGGTGCGTTCTTGTGGCCCTGGATCAAAGCGGATTTTGCCTGTTCGAAAGGTGTCGCCTCTGGACGGGTGGGATCCAGCCCGCAAAAAAATACACCTCGGGGTGTTCTTGGTGTGACGCAGACAGGCGCCGGTGGTGGCGGCGGCCTGCCACCTCCACCGGAAGCTGTCGTTTTGCTCTGTGGCGTGAGCAGTGGTCGCTCCCTGCGGCAACTGACTTTTCGGACGCGCAGGTGTCGCCGTCTGTCGGAGGAACCCCTCCTTCTCCCACGGACCGCTAACTGCTCTCTCTCTCCGCCTGTCCCCTTCCCTTCTCTGTCTCTCCGACTCTGTGTCTCCCTGTCCCTGTCTCTGTCTCTGTCTCTTCTGATCTTCCTCCTTCGTGCCCCGTGAACCCGTGCCCCAGCACAACGAACTGCTTCCCACCAGCCACGGTCGGGAGGTGGGAGTTGCTGGGGGACAGAAGGGAGACCCCCCTTTCATCTTCCCCTGGGTGGTGGCTGCCCCAGCACCTCTTGTAGGGCGCCACGTCATTGGTGCGTCTTGTCACCCCCAGGTCTCGGTGGTGGGCTGGGATGCCGGCTGCGTCTCCCTCTCTCCCGAGGAGGCGCAGGTGGGTGTCAAGGGCCAGGGAGCCCCTGGGCTCTGCCGTCTGGGGTGTCCCTCGCCCAAGCAGGGCGAGGAGGAGCGGGGTCACAGAACGTGGAGACACCACAGGACAATTACTGCGGCAGCGAGTCTAGACAGACCTGCTAAGGATATTACCAGGGAACAAAGAGGGTCTTTGTCATGGGGTCAAGGGAAACGGTCAGATGTGGCTTCTCGGCGGGGTCTTGTCAGGTAGACGGGGTGTAGACAAAGCAGCGTCTGGGGCGCCTGAGCTCTGGTCCTTTCACGGTGTGTGCTCGGGAGCGGCCGCCCTCGCTGCAGAATCCGGGGGACTTGGGGTTCCCTGCCTCCCTCCTCCCCAAGGAGAACTATCCAGCCCTCTTGGCACAGAACATCTTCAGAGGCAAAGAATTCGTCCAGATTACCAGCCACACGCTTCCTCATGGCTCCAGATGAACTTCCTGACTGTCTCCCCCAACGCTGTTACCCTCTTTAAAATTGAGGAATAATTTACATAAAGCAACATGTATGGACCTTAAGTTTGCCCATCACTTTGGTGAAAAGTTTTTATGCCTATGCCCCTAATACCTTGATCGAGATATAGAACATTTCCAGAACATTCCCTGGTATCCGCCTTCTCTCATCACTCACTCCCCATCCTGCCCCCGAGGCAACTGCTGTCCCGGGCTTGGTCACCGCAGATGAGCTTTGCCTGGTCTCGTGCTGGGTATGAACCAAGTGGCACAGACTCTGGGTCCCCTGTGTGTCTGCCGTTTGGCGCAGCCCACGTTGGTGCAGGGGACAGCTGTTCTTTTCTGTGCTGTGTGTCGTTCCACCGGGTGGACACACTACGTTGAGTCACCCCAGCTCCCATGGACAGGCTTTTGGGGGTCTCCCAGGTTTGTCACTAGGAATTAAGCAGTGGGGCTGCTCCCAAGTGGCTCTTGGCAAACACAGGGTGGATTCCTCTCTCAGGATCGCTGGCCATGGTGTGTGTGTGCGTCATTGAGAATGGTTTCCTTTTTTTCTCTTCTTTGAAACGGGGTCTCGGTCTGTTGCCCAGACTGCTGTGCAGTGGCCCCATCATAGCTCACTGCAGCCTCCCAGGCTCAAGCTCAGCCTCCCTGCCTCAGCCTCCCGAGTAGCTGGGACTACAGGTGTGTGCTGCCACACCCGGCTAATTTTTCTATTTTTTGTAAAGATGGAATCTTGCTATGTTGCCCAGGCTGGTCTCGAACTCCTGGGCTCAAGCAATCCTCCCACCTCGGCCTCCCAAAGTGCTGGGATGACAGGCGTGCACCACCACGCCTGGCCGATGATGGTGCTTAGTTTAAATTTTTTCCCCACTTTTGGGGAGGGAGGCTGAGGAGACGTGGGCACCCAGAGGACTCAAAGGTTAGGACAAGTAGGTGACTCACTCCGTGTGTTCCCTGAAATGCCAGCTCATTTTCTACCACTAAGAATTGACATGTAGCTGTGTGCAGTGGGGTGCAACTGTCTTGCCAGCTGCTTTGGAGGCTGAGGCAGGAGGATCACTAGAGCTCAAGAGTTCGAGTCCAGCCTGGGCAAAATAGCAATACCCAGTCTCTTAAAAAAAAAGAGAGAGACTGATTTTACGTTACATTCCGTTGGCACAATTCTGGCTCGTGCCTTGCGTTCAGTTGTCCTGCGTCTCTTTAACCTCCTGCAGTGCGCAGAGTTCCTCAGTCCTTGCTCGCGTCTCACGGCGTTGCCAGGTTTGGCGAGAACCTGCTCAGTCATCTTGTAGAATGTCCCTCGAGATGGGTGTGTCCAGTGTCTCCTCATATTAAACCGAGGTGCTGTGTCTGGGCAGAAGCGATATTATGTCCTCTGTGTGCCGTCTTATCAGGAGACACCGGAGGTTGATGTGTGGCATTGCTGGTGCCACTGGCCTTGATCTCTTGCTGCAAGTGAGGGCTAGTGGATTTCTCCCTGCAAAGTTACTGTGTATTTTGCCCTTCGTAATTAAAAAGCATCCTGGTGGGCACGTGGGGTGACACAGTGTGACTATCTCAAAAAAAAAAAAAAGGTATTCTGAAACAGGTACGCTGCATGGGAGGTCCAGATGGGAGGATCGCTTGAGGCCAGGAGTTCGAGACCAGCCTGGGGAATGTAATGAGACCTTGACTTTAAAAAAAATAAAGAAGTACTCAATGGAGACATACTTTGTGGCCATATAAGCCTTCCTCAGACTTCCAGCCACTTTTTATTTTTATTGATTGATTGAGACAGAGTCTCACTGTATCACCCGGGCTAGACTGCAGTGGTGTCATCATAGCTCACTGCAGCCTCCAGGCTCTAGTGATCCTCCTGCCTGAGCCTCCCGAGTAGCTGGGACTACAGGCACCACCACCGCAGCTGGCTAATTTTTCTATTTTTAGTAGAGACGGGGTCTCGCTCTTGCTCAGGCTGGTCTGGAACTCCTGAGCTCAAGTGATCCTCCCACCTCTGCCTCCCAGAGTGCTGGGATTACAGGCATGAGCCACGGCGCCCGGCCTCCTTCCACATTTCCCCTATTATT